CTAAAAAAAATTACATGATTGATGCCCTGATATTGATAATATAGTGTCATGTCCATCGAGGAATTGATGAAAGTTTAAAATTATACTTACATACACACAGAGCGCGCGCGCACACACATACACACTACATTACACACACTATTGAATAAAAACAACCCGCATACTTTATTCGCGCGAAAATCGCGGAATCACGTTGCATATTTACAAAATACGAAATGCAAACGCACACTTTGTGCTGCAACGCGGTCACGCACTTAATTATAGCTGATTATACGAGCGAACGAATTAAACGACTAACGGTCGCGGGAAAGACATGTACCTTGTACTTGACTCAAAATCACGATGCAGCATTTGATGAATTCGATCATAAACATTCACGGCAAATAATACGTTCCCAACTCGCCCGTCACTTTAATCGGCACTCCCGACAACAATTCGTATTTTGCCAACCTCGTTTTGCATTTTTAATGCAAATAAATATGCCAGTAATCTCAAAGCGTTCACACTTTTCATCTAGAACCAAAGCGCTAATAGCGATTTTTCTTTCAACTAGCTAGCAAGTGTCGATAAAACAGTGAAGTCTGGTGTTGGTAACATTATAATACAGCGGCTGGTAATACAGCGCGTTATCTTACTAATTGGTAAAAAAGGAATAGCTTTTCTCTTTCGTCGCTGCACGCGCTACCTTATTTATCAAATACGGTTAGTTTTCCTCGGCGCGTCCGGAACATTTAGACTGAATGTTTTGTGAGTAATCGTGTATTTTATCCGTATTAAAAATGTATAATCAGTGCGAATTTTTGTTGGAATTATCGATGAAAGAGACAGACGCATGCGGAAATGTATTATTTACTGCTGATGTTCACGATTAACATCAATTTTCTCGATTGTTGCATCGCGAATCGAGACCGGTACAATTTTGGTGAGTACAGATTTTGACGTCATAAATATGCTATGCACAATACAGTATGCTATTCAACTGGATAGCATGTTGAAAATTCAATCTCTCGGAATTAAATCAAGTAAAACGTAGTTGTGCTGTGTGTCTGTCCATATCTGATAATGCGACCGTCAAAACAGTTGTCGTTTATTCCGCTCGCTCTGAGTGCATGTACAATATCAGTTACAATTATGTATGTGGACATGTTACAGTATAGAATGTTTTATCTCGCATTTGCATTTCACGCAACGTACCATATTCGAGATATGAATCTGTGATTTTTGTCTAACAATAAGTAAATGTCAGTTGATTTTTATTCTGCAGTATAGCTAACAATAATTGCGGTTTTTCTTCTTTCCTGTTTTTTTCATCGATTCTTCTATGGAAATGATGCATATGTAGATGAAGCAATCTCAAGCAGAATCTACAACAGATGGAGCAAATTACAATAACCTGGTAAGTACAATTAGTTGTCTGTTATTTAAATATTTTAATGTATGTAATCTTGTAGTAACAAAAAATTAGAATCTATTAAATATTTATTATGTAAGGTATTTGAAAACGTTTATTATATTTATTAAAACATTTGATAAATATTCGATGACAGAATCGTTTATAAATTCGTCAATTTTCAGAGCATAACATACATTGAATATTTATCAAAATTCTTAAGGAATTATTCACTCAGTTTATTACACTTCATTGATAATTATATTTTAATCAAAACATAAATATTTAAATACGTAATAATAAGTATATATGAAAAATGTATGATAGTTACAACTAAAATATATATTAATTTTTTTAGGTAAAACTTTCTTTGAAGGTGTAATAATTTATTAGGATACAATGACTGGTAAGTGATTTATTTATTAAATTTACGTAATTGCGTAAAAGACTGATATCATTGATATTGATATAATTTCAATATCTATGAATCTTTAACTTTACCTTATTAATAAGTTTAATTCGAAACATAGTACGGTTTAAAATTGCACTTTTCGGAATCGTAGTTAACCAAATAATTCATGTAAAGTTATGCTTTGAAAATTGATGAAGCTATAAACGATTCTATTATCGAATCTTGTAAGTTGTCTCGATGTACAAAAAGAAGATTGACTTCGCAATTCAATCCATTGCAACAAA